TCTATGGGAGCCAGGGCTTTTTGGAGCCAGGACTAGTGGACGTAGTGATATTGCAGGTTTTTGACACTTCCGGGTTGGCTTCATTTTTCAGGGCCGGTTGCTACGTCCATCTTTTCTACAGTCTATGGTCTAGATGCAACTCTACACTGGAACCACAGAAACATGTGAAGGAGTCCATTCGTCACTTATCACTGTACATGTTTGGTGCCAGAGCAGCGACAGTATAGTTCGGTGTCAACGACGAAATTTGGCATTAAAGACAAAACCTGAACTGAGAAAAAGGAAATTAAAATATTTGTCTACAGAATAGAGTTTTATTGCAAAATGCATTCATTACGGTGCAGACACACTGGAACTCTTTGTGCATTTTCTCGAGTCAGCTTTATATGTAGGAAAAAATTAAATAACAAAAAAGGTAAGAGCAGCAGCAATATAAAAAAATATAAATCTACATTATAAAAATACAATAAGACATTATATTTAAAAAAGGACTTTGTACTAAATAGTGTTTTAAAAAGTTTAAACCAGTTGTATTGGCACTAAGAAAAAAAACTTATAATAAACACATTCTAAAAACTATTTCATTTTATTTCCATATTTTCTTAATATATTTCCATATTTATTAATGTGTTTTTCAGTGACAATCTTATGATTTTTTTCTGCGTATTTTCAGTGAATATTTTTTATTCTGTCAGTATTTTTTTCAATCTAAACTTGATATATATACAATTTTCGTACCAAAGAGCGTACATCTCATACTTAACGTGTGCTTCATTGGTCTGGGTGTCAAACATAATGCATTTTCCAATCAAACACCACAAACAAGACCTGTCTGCCCTTCTGATCGCTCCTTGCAACCCTCAGCGATAACTGGATATAGCTGCTAAACAATGTTGGGATATTATTTTAATACAGGCGCTTCCCCATCACTACATGAAGAACGTCGCCCTTCTAATCATGGAAGCAGCAAAACATGGCAACAGGTATCCAGCAGTAGCACCTTGCTGGAGTTTAATATCTTCTGTGTTTGTTGTCAACAACATCGGGGCTCATTCTGCTTCGATTAATGTTACTTATTTAAGATGCTGTGTTGAGAAACCGGCTGAACACCAGCACCAGGATTTCTTACTCTTGACCATTTGTCAAGTTGTTTTCCTAAAGAGACTTCCAGCTCCAGCTCAGTGCTGCGTGTTCTCAGTACATATCTGCTAGTAACAGATATGAGAGCAGAATGTCTCCTGAGCTGCAGGCTGTGTAGTCCCGCCTGTTTGATGTACATGTTATTCTTTGTACTGTGTAATGGATGCAATGAAGGAGCCAAAACTCCAGTTAAAACAAGTAAAGTAAGACATTTTTAACAGCTGATACCAATTATCTGCCTGGCTAGAAAAAATGGAATTAACAAACCGAGTTGCTAATTCTTAATTTATACTTTTACTTTGTCGTTTGTATGCAGAGAACTTTCTAGAATAAGATTTCAAATTCATCTGACATTATGTTTCTCTGCTATTCTTTGGATTTGTTGTTCAACTGTGTAACTTATGAACCTGAAGCATGCAGTTTTGACAATTTGAATATGGAGGAAAAACACAATCTGACCAACTTCTTATTTTAAATGATGACAGATTAATGAAAGGTGGATTCATGATCATGAATCACTGAAACAAAGCTGGAACATTTTTTTCTTTGTTGTTGTATTTTTATACGTTGTTTCACACTTTTCACCGAAGAGAATGACTCGTAACTCATCGATGTAAATAAAGTTCATGGAGGCCATGAACAGTTTTTGGTGAATGCTCAGTGTGAAGAAGAGCTCCGTCCATGATGACTTCATCTGCAGTCAAAGTCCACCAGTGCAAGGAAGATGAAGAGGAGGAGGAGAAGAAGGAGGAGGAGGAAGGACTAAATGGCTCACAGAAGGAGGCTGTCCAACAGAGCTCACTGAGGTCGACCACAGTTGCAAACACTCCCATGCAGCAATCCCCACCTCAACCTAAAGCACTTGGGTGTAAGGACCCCCACCTTAACCTAAAGCGCTTCGGTATGAGGACCCCCACCTTAACCTAAAGC